CCGGCGACTGATCTGCCTTGCCCGGGAAGAGCGCAATGATGGTGCCAACTTGGGCCAGTGAAGCAACGTCCTCCACAACTAGACTGAAGAACAAGACGACAGCAACTTGTCTGTTTCCCTTCCCCCAATTCCCCAGCACTGTTCCCATCCCCCCAATTCCCCAATAAAAATCTTTAAAAAAAAAAAAGATAAATAAAAACAACAACAAAGGCTGAGCCATGTACCTGTGCGAGACATTTACATTTTGCCAAGCATTTAAACGTGGCCTCAAGTGGCTACTGAGGGCTTAGGAGTCTTTAAAAGTTTTTGAACTCGCCTGCCATCAATGTATTTCCCTTTCTTGAAGGCTGGATGCAGGCGCTCTGGTTCCCGACTTACTCCGACCCACCCAGCTAACTAACCACTGTGCCACCCGCTGGAGCTCGGGGCAGAGTGGGGACTGGCTTCCGTGTGGCCATCCCCATTGGGGAACAGCAACACTGGATCACTTTTCACAGCATATTTTTGGAAGCTCTTAATCAGCTAAATCTTTTTTTTTTTTTTTTTTTAGCTGAGCCATTTTGCCACCTGTTGGCAGCTCAGTGGCAGCTCAGCTCTGGCCGGGAATTGAACCGGTGACCCTGTTGCTCAGAGCTTGCACTCTTGAGCGAGCTCTTAACCAACTTAGCCACTCAGCCGGCCCTAAATCTTTCTTAATAAGGATGCAAAATAGAACTTAGAAATGTCATTGTTCCCTTGTTAGGATGAATACAGGAGTACCATGGAAGTGATGATGAGGCACGCAAAGAGGAACAGTGATGCACCCCAGAAAAAGAGCTCAGACTGGACCCTGCTAGTCCACTCACCAGGCACCTCAAGAGTTGAGTGATTTTTTTAAAGATTTTAAAAAGACTACATTTTTAGAGCAGTTTCAGGATCATAGCAAAACTGAGAGGAAGGTACAGAGAGTTCCCACACACCCCCTGACCCGCCTCCTGCCCCCCCCCACACACCCACAGCCTCCCCTACTGTCAGCAGCCCCTCAGATGGGACATTTGTGACACCTGACGAGGCTGCCCTGACACATCATCACCCAGGGTCCACAGTTCACTTCAGGTCACTCTTGGTGTCGCTCCTTCTGTGGGTTTGGACAGATGTGTAATGACCTGTACCCACCATCAATCAGTGTCACACAGAGGGATCTCTCTGCCTTAAACGTCCCCTGTGCTCCCCGTCCACCCCTCCCCCACTCCTGACAACCACTGATCTATTACTGTCCCCAAAGTTGTGCCTTTCCCAGAATGTCACACAACTGGGATCACACCGTGTGCAGCCTGTTTAGTACAGGAACCCCGATACCTTCTGGGCCCATGTAGCTGCCCCTGCAGCACGACACGGCCACGACACCCCTTTAACTGGAGCCAGGGCCAGAGGCTTCAGCTGTTCTTAGCGAGAGTCCACAGCGAGGTGGCAAACTGACATCCAGACAGCGGGCCTTACAGAGCGGCCTGGAGTCTTAGAAATCCTTCCCACGGGACCGAGCACAGGCCACAGTGACACCCACGTCGCGTGCCCTGGCCTCATGGAGAGTCGTCTCCTAGTCCTGACACTGTAGTCCTCGCTATCTGCTATGGCATGCGCCTGTCACTTTGCCACTGTGACACCTCCACCTGGAAGTGGTTTTCATCGTTCTCCATTCCAAATGTTCAACAAAACTGCAAGCGTTTTGCCCAACAGAATGTGGCTCCTACCCGCTCCGCAAATCCCTCCACTGGCCGGCTGGCTGGTGACAGCTCAGGCTCGTAGGGGAGCATGCGGTTAACTGCCCGAATGCCGGCAGAGGGGAAGACAGCGTCTCCATGTTTGGTCACATCGTTTCATTTGGTCATGTCAGGCATCTGCTCGATAAAACGAACTTCTGAACCTTTCAAACTAGGCGTTTTTATGCAATAAACACATTCTGAGATCAACTTTACATCAGTATTCTGATTTTTAATTTAACCTTTTCATAATAAATATAGTACCTTACAAATGCCTGATGAAACGAAGTGACCAAACACGGAGACTTTTGTAGAAAGATGTCACCTAAAGGATCAGGAACAACTTTAAAGACACATAAGTGATTTGTAAGAGTCGCAATTTGTAAGAGTCAGCCGTTTAAAATTAAAATCTTCTAACACTGATTATTTCCAGTTAATCATCCTGATGTTCTAAAATTCTCATTACTAAGAAATAACTTGTCTTAATAACTATGAAGTGATTTAAAGAACTGTCTCATAACCAGATTTAGGAAGAAGTGGTCTTAGCGTGTTTATTTTTAAACGGTGACTTACAAAGCGAGCAGTCAGTCACTTTAGGAAGAAAACGTGTGTGTGAAGGGGACCTGTCATCATGCAAAAGAACAGCAGCAGGTTGTCTGTCTTCAGGAGGAAATGGCCTGGAACCTGCAGACACTAGTTCTGACTCAGAGATGTCACCCACGCACAAAGCTTCAGGTGTCCCTCCAGGTTCATGTTACTTTAGCCTTATCGGTAAGGCTGTGAGTTACAAGAGGAAAGATGTGCAAATAGGCCCTAAACACACAATTTCTAAAACAATCACAAATGTTGGTTCAGTAAAACCCCGAAATCACAGGAAATCCTAGGGACAGCCTGCTTGTCACGTGGACAGCACATCTCCACAGCAGTCTGAACTCCGCTGAGCTGATTCAAGCGACATGCACACTTCTGACAGGCGGAACGGCCTCAGCTTGGTCAGCTCAGGCGCCCTCACGAAGTGTCACTTTTTGGGGCTTAAACAACAGACGCTCTCTGTCCTGTCCTGGAGGCTGGAGGTCCGAGACCAAGGTGTCACAGAGCTGGTCCCTGGGGCCTCTCCCGGGCACGTAGGCAGCCGTCTGCGCCCTGTGTCCTCACGTGCTGTCCTGTGCGTGCCCGTGTCCCGGTCTCCTCTCCTCATAGGGGCGCCCGTCAGATGGGAGCAGCGCCTGCCCTGATGGCCTCGTTTTACCTCAGTCGCCTCTTTAAGCCCCATCGGCAAATAGTTACGTGCTGAGCTTTGGGGGCAAGACGTCAGCGTGTGGATTTTGGAGGCCACATCCAGCCACATCAGGCACACTCTGAGCAGTGGAGATCCGCTTAGCTGCAGTCATTTGTGCCTCAGCGTTCGTCCAGGCGACCCTGTTCCACCTGCACACTCTGGGGGCGCTGTCATGAGGGGCAGTGTGTGAGGCGGTGTCGGTGGGAAGCCACCTGGGGGCTCATAGCACCTTGCGTGAAGGGGACATGGCACACATGCTTTGTCCCAAGGTCAAGCACACTGGCATAACCCCGTCTGAGAGGTGGAGGGAGCGTTTTCTCTCATCCGTCTTGTGTCCGTTGGCACTGTAAGAGCCCAGGGGCCTTTGGTGTCTTCTAGGCCGAGCAGGACTGTGGGCGTGCTGGAGTCACATGTCACGTCTCACACTGCTTCTGTAAAGTGTGCTCCGTGTCAACGCAGGGGTGACCACTGGGCAGCAAGCAGCCCGAGGGCCTGTGGCGTCTGCTGTTCGGATCGCGCTGCAGGAGTGTTACGAACGGGAACACGAGGGAACGAAACTGCGTCTGTTCTCAAGGTGACTCGGCTGGGTCAGCAGGCGAAACCAGCGCTCAGAACATATTCGTCATATTTAGTCCCAGTGAGGGACTACTGAAAACGGAGACGATCCCAAGAGAGGGTGCTCGGACTCTGCATGTACGTGTCCACCTGGGGACTAAGAGGACCCTCAGTGGTGTATCCCACGCGGAGGGCCCTCACTAGGTGGAAGCCACTGTGACGAACCAGGGTTTATGTCGCCTCCACTGCAGACCACCCGCTATCAAGGGGCTGTGACAACAGATGGGGAGGTGAGAACAAGGGACACACCAGGAGCCCGTCCTCGGGGACACAGTGACTGGGTCAGCGTGACAGCGGCCGGGGCAGAGGCCGTCCTGGGGGACACAGTGACTGGGTCAGCGTGACAGTGGCCAGGGCAGAGGCCTGTGTCTACTTGGAGCTGAGCTGGCAGCCCTGTGTCCACGACCGGAGGCAGATCCTCTCCAACCTAGTCTCTGGCTGGGAGATGCCCACACTGTAACCTACCTCCTCAACCTAAATGCATGTCCCATCCCCTCCTGCCCGCTGCCCCGGGGCGTGCAGCGACACCCTGCACAAGTCACTACCCACAGCAGCGAGGCCCAGGGTGGACAGACGATGTGACGGGCCTGTCTGTGATCTCTCGATACCGACTGATCCTCACCTGTCAACGGGGGGACGCAGCTGCACTTTGCTTTCCCGGGTGTCACTTTCTCGGGGGGGTTTTTGGGGGCCGGAGCCAATGTTGCCCTCTTTTCTTGGCCACAGGGAACACGAGGAAACAGTCTCTCCAGCACTTTTCCAACAAACACTGAAGGCACCGATTGACAAAAGAGAAGACAAGAAGAGTTACTCAGGGTGGTTTTATGTAAACCGCACATAGATTTTATTTAAAACCAAGACATTTGATATTACCACCTGCAAGCAAAGCGACTGACCCCAGAACACCCCTGGCGCTGTCCCCACAGGACCCCCAGGCCGCCTGGACCGCAGCTGACCACCTCCCGAAGGCCCTGAGGTCTGGGATGCCCACAGGGGTGCAGCCAGCCTGGGTTGGGCCAGGCCCACGTCGGGGTGAATGTGAACTTGGAGTCTACCTGTGGGCTGCACCTGTTCCATCCTTCCATGGAATGTTCTTGTCTTTGGACAGACCATAAGCCAGTTTCAGAATTGGGGGTCGAGACCCTGGGTACCAAGGGCGCCCCTAGACTGGATGGGTCCTCGTCATTTTACACAGAACGTCTTCTCAGGGACAAGACCCAGGCAGGGCGCGGACACACCCTCCAGCACTGAGTCCCTAAGCCAGGGCTCCGAGGTCACTGGCTTAACTCCTTAGGGCATCTGCACACGTGCTCTGGAGGTGGTTCCGGCACTCGAAACGCCCGTGTCTGCTGGACCTGAACTCTCCCATGTGGACAAGCCCAGTCCAAGCCCACAGGGTCCTAGACACAGAGCTCTCGGGAGGCTCATGGTCCGAGGGCGGGCCTCCGCCGGGCTGTCCCTGGCTGGCGGGACCCTTGCTTGGGTTCTGGGCCTCCCCATCAGGGAAAAGGGGCCGAGATGGGTCAGAACACCATCCCAACAAACACCCCGCCGGCCCCGGGACAGGGCCTGCGCTCCATGTCCCCGCTCAGGGCTGCCAGGGCGTCCCTGACTGCCTTTTATGACAGCGACATCCAGCAGGACTCATCAAGGCTCGCTGCTTCACTAGTGAAGCAGTTTCCTGGCTGGGAAACAGAGGAAGGTTCTCAGCCGTGCTCCAGGCCTAGAGGCTCAGAGCAGCGTGATGACCTACGGATTTGCGTCCCCGTTGCCGGCAGCGATCCTGACAACAGCCCCAGGGACCGTGAGTCGCCTGAAGCTGGGCATCGTGGCCCCCACTCCTGGGCAACCTGTCTGAGCTCCTGTCTCTGGGGCCTCGGCCTTCCCTCCATAAAACAAGCAAGTCCGCTTCCTAGGCTGGATGCGCGTCACAGGCCTGGCTGCACAGCTCCACGTGGGCTGCCTCGTGGCCTCTGAGAGGACGCGTGCCCACGCCCAAGCCTGGGCCCACCCCTCGCAGCTGACCCGCAAGTGTGCAGAGTGCTCGGCACCTCACTTCCTCACGTCCTTTTGAACACACACACCCCTGGAAAGGCTGAGACCTCCACCAGCTGGCCTGAGTCCTGACCCTGATTTCCGGTGACAGGCACCCCCCGACATCCTGGGCTTCAACGACCCAAAACTGAACTCTCCTTTCCTGTCCCACATCTGTGCCTCTGCCCGTCTCCTGGGTCAGGGGCGCCGCCAGCTCCACACCAACCCCTTGCACTACCCCCCCCCCCCCAAGCGACGTCCCCACGTACCACACTGGCTTGCCTTCAGGGTGGGTCCTGTGTTTCTCTGACGTGTCCCCACCCTTTTGTGAGCACATGGCCACTTTCTGACATGACAAGCAGCTCCAGGCTCATCTGCTATTTATTTTGCTGGTAAATATCAGGTCTTTTTTAGCCATAGCTGGAAGCAAAGTCTTTTTAAAAATAATAATTTTTTTAAAAACTAGTTTTTTTTTTTTTTAGCTGAGCCATCCTGCCGCCTGTTGGCAGCTCAGCTCAGGCCGGGACTCGAACCGCTGTTGCTCAGAGCTCAAACTCTTGAGTGAGCTCTTAATCAACTGAGTCACTTGGCTGGCCCTAAAAATCAGTTTTAAAGAGCAATGTGTAACAAGCAAAATCAAATGATCAATAACTACTTTCTACCAACGAACACTGCTGGAAGATTCGCTGAGTTTCACTTTATCCCAGTATTTGGGCTACACGTGGGTGTTGCCATCAGGAGGCAGACTGCACCACTCTGGCGAGGTCTGAACACCTGTCCTCTGAAGCCACACGGGCACCAGCGCCAGCCCCTCAGCATCTGCCATCCGCCACAACTGGAAACAGCGCCTTCCTGTTTCTAAGGGACATGTGGCCGCCTGGCCACCTCGGTGCAGTCATCTGGGATATCCTATCATGGAAGCAGCGCCTAGTTTATTCAAACAGAAGCAATTAGCTATTTTAGAGCAACGCATTCCTTGTACAGCCATGGAACCCTCCTTGCCACTTTGAGCCCCCAGAGCTGGGAATGACATGGGGACACTTGGACTGCCTTGATGGAGCCATACATAGGGCTGAATTCTGTACACACAGTGAGCTTCTAATGGGTCCCGTGTGCTCAGTGGCTCATGTTAGAAGCAGAACAGAAATGAAAACTAGTTTTTTCAGGATACTGGACACAGCGAGGCATCACTTTTAAAAAGCATTTGTTATTTCTGGATGGTTGAAATGCACCTTTAGACCTAGTGTGTGTGTGTGTGTGTGTGTGTTTACTTACTGCAAATGTAGGCCTGGAAGTCAACTTAGAGGTTAAAAATCTCTTTTCTGCTTAATTTCCAAAGTTCTCAAAAACAAGATGGAAAAGAGCTGGGTGCTCTAGTCCCAGAAGACAGCTGGGCGTCACACACAGAACTCTCAAGAAGAGCTCGTGTCACTATGTGGCCCTGCCAGGCTCGAGGCTGGCCCGCCTTCTTCGCACAGCTCAGCTAGGTGCCCCAACAGCAGCAGGTTTTAACCTGAAATGCTGGTGTCCCTGAAAAAGCAGTCACCAGGGCCTAGAAAGGCCTGTGCAATGCCGACTGGGAAAAACGACCTTTAGCACACAGGCATAATTAGCACATGGACAATCGGAACGGGGACGCGAGGCACAACCAAAGGCCGACGTGGAGAAATACCAGAGATGAAGTCTCCTGGTCCCTAGGGAATCATGTTCTGTGATACAGTTTCCAGAGAGGACGGCCTAAACTTGCTAGTTCAATTTAAAGGCACAAGCCAAATACCAGTAGGTTTCCAGTGCAGCGTTCCTTGGAAATGAGAAGCTAGGGACCGCTACCTGTGTGCACCTCAAAAGGAAAGAGGCTTCGGGCGCTGGTGGCAACCCTACTCAACTTCAAACTCTTCTTCCATCAGTCAGCTGATTTAAATTCTAAAGGTTGGGTATGAAATAGGAAGAGTTTTCTGTTCCATTTTTAGCGACGGTGGGACTGTTCTGTCTGCTGTGGTGTCAGAGCAGAAGCCCAGGAACATGCTGAAGTGCCGGACAGGCTACGGGGAGAACGTGGCGGTCTCCCGCGCACTCTGCAGCCTGAAAGTCTCCCATCGGGGGAAGTCGGTGCGCACACCATTCGAAAAGCCTCCCTATGGAAAAGGAAGGAAATAGCGTTCTTTTCTTCTGTAACGTTCCACTGAAAATAAGACCAGAAATGGACATTAACAGGAACGCTCACCGTGGCCAGTCTGATGGTGCCCCTCCTCACTCGGCCCGGTGAATCGGAGAAAATGTCCAAACCTACCACCAAACAAACACGAGCACACGCGCACACAGAGGCCAGGAAACCCCATCCCAGTCAGTGCTGGCTCAGAGCTGCCCTTCTGCATCCTGACATCTGCGCGTCTCGTTTTAACAGCCACTTTAAATTTAAATTTTCTTAGGGTTACTGTATTTCCCAGAATCTGATATTTTGAATTTTTTCTTTTATGTTTAAACACCTGCCAAGTATCTGTCGCCTAGGCATTGTTCTCGGAAACGATATTCAATATGTATTTTTCCTTTTTATCCCTTTAACAAGGCACAGTATCTAACCTTTGCCTATAATGTGAGACTAAAGGAATACGTTGATCGTAGCACTCATTATTTCATGAAAAAAAGAAGTTCAGTATAGCATGCTAATTCACTCAATGAGTTTCTTAATGAGTTTTGTAACAGAATTATAAATGGAAAAAGTGATTAGCTAAGATTTAAGCAAGAGTTGGCCAGCTGTCTGAAATATTAATTAAAAGGAAAATAGTACTCAAATGAAACATGATTAGAATCTTACACCATGACCAACTGATGTGGCACCCCACCTAAGGAGAAGGTTTATACTAAAGACTCATTTTCTCCTTAAAAAAAGAACGAACACCCCAGACTGCGTAGGGTCTGTAGCATTACTCACTACTATTCACACAGGCACACGCAGATACACAGAGGCCGTCCCGACATCGCCACTTCAGGAACATGAGGGAAGGCGGCAGAACGCCACAATAAGGGGTGTGGCCACGAGGCCCTCCCTAAGACACTGGGTGGCAGGGGACGGGGATCGGCCGGCTGGGACTGAGGCCCACGGACAGGCCCGAGCTCCTCCGAGGGGCCCGGGGACAGGGCGGCTCAGCTGCTGCAGCCCCCGCTGTGGCCACAGCCCCTGGCTCCCGGGAGGGGGCACCTGGGAAGACAGCCAGGCTGGTCCTGCAGGGAGCAGCCGACCATCTGTATGACAGCACACACTCTGCCTCACCCGCCCATGGTGGCTGCCATGGGCAGGCGGGTCAGGTGGCCTCAGTCACCCAGGGTCTGCACATGTGGCAGGGTGTCTTGAAGGACCTCGGAGGCTCGGCTCGGCCTGGCCCGCAGCCTCAGGAGCATGGAGCAGGGGGAAGGGGCTGCGGTTACGGTGACCCTGAGGACCCTGGACAGGGCTCATACCACTCAGCGCCCACGTGGCCACAGTGAATACAAGGAGAAGGAAAACAGACAGACAGTGTGCAGATGGATAAGTTACCTCACGAGTACTGTGCTCCCGCTAACAGGTGACTGCAGAGGACGACCAGTTAAGGAGGTGGCAGGAACACTGCACGGGGGCCCCTCACCCCAGTTAAATGCTCTGCTGCAAAGGGCCAGCACCGTACAAGGAGACCAGGCCCAATGCAGCAGGGGCCCACACCACGGGAGCCGGCCCACTGGGCAGCTGGGCCTAAAGTGGCCCCAGTCCTGAGACCCTGCCCCAATGCCAGTGCTGTCACCCCACTACAGATCCCTTGAGATCTGGCTCCCATGAGCGCCAGCTGCAGGGCACACCGGACTTAGCTGTGACTTACATCAGGTGCTCATCCGGTGTCCCATGTAGGAAGGAGGCCCCTGAGCCACCCCTGAGGCTTTGGGCCCTTCTGGGTGTACTTCAGTTAGGTCAGGGCTGCCCAGGGCAGGACACCCCCCACCCCCAGAACTGGTGGTGCAGCTTCCCGCAGGAAACAGAGTGCATCTGAAACAAATTTACTTGTTGCTTCAAAGGCAAACCACCCTCAGTATTAACCCTGAGGGGCTTTGCTACAAATTGCCACGAAGTGGCCTGAAGCCATCCCATCCGCTTTCAGGCTGACTGCGTCCTACAGTAGAGGCTGAGCTCTTGGTCTGATGAGTTGTAAACTGTGGTTCCTGTCAGGCAGCCGCTGCCCTGTCCCAAGAGTGCAGCGCGCAACTGCCCTGCCTGCCCGCCATCCCCAGGGCCACAGAGAGCTCTAACTGCGCCCAGGAGACGCTCAGAACACATGCTTCTGGCCATGCCTTGAGTAGGAGTCCTGCCTGTGGCCTGCTTCCTGTGAGCGCTTCCACGCCTGCATCCCTTCCATAAAAGTGCAGGTGGCCCCAGGGTGTCCTCGCCTCCATCCTGGGACCCAGCGGGATTGTGAGGAACAGGGATGTCAGGGCATGTGTGCAGCAGCCACTGTCTTCCCCACCTGTCACATGCTGCCCCAATCTCACACTCATCACAAGGCACGTGGAGCTGCGGAAACCGAACACTGGAACAGCTCTGGTTTCAGGCGTCAGCAAATTCAATGCGCTTGGAATTTTTTCCTCTCAACCCCACTGAGGAGTGGTCCCTGCAGAAGGGTTGCTTGTGATCTTCTTAAGAAGAGGTTTGTAATTCTAGTATTGTCCCCACTTACATCTTATATTTTCAAGACCTACTAACCCATCCTTGCAAACACAATGTTTAAACAACCTAACTTGACAATTTTGTCCCATTCCAATAGCGTCAGGCTTAGACGGGTCAGAAACATGAAGGAGGACGAGGGGGTGAGCTGTACGAGGGACAAGCTGCTGTGCAGTGGATGGCGCCCCCCAACTGAAACTCAAACAAGCAGAAGCGGAGCCGGTCAGCAGCAGGGAGACCCTGCGACAGCCGCCACACCTGGCCTGTCCCAAGAACCTCAACACTAAATTGTAAAGCCTGCCAATCCTGCTCACAGTGGGGGCATAAAACTGTAGTCTGGGTGCTCACTGAACCTGTTCATATCCACGCGGGAACCTGCCGCCGTCGGTTTACAATGTACATGGTGACCTACTGATCAAGCGGAGGAGGGGCTCGGGCCGCACCCACGCCAACACTCTAACAGGAAGCAAGGCGGGGGCGGGGCATATCTGCTTTTCTCCACACACATTCTGCCCGGCTCACAAATTCGTTTCCTTTTCTTATTTTTAGCAAATACGTATTAACTTCAAAGGACAAAAACACAATCATCTGTTTAAAATGTACAGAAGAAAAATAAATCATGGTCTCAACTGTTCCAAGCAACATAAGAAACATACCTAAAACCTTCTCTTTTACCTGAAATCATAAAACTCCCAGAAGAAAACATACAAAAAAGGCTCCTGGACATTGGTCTTGCTGATGACTTTTTGGATTTGACACCAAAAGCAAAGGCAGCAAAAGCAAAAATAGACAAGTGGGATGACATCAAACTAAAAAGCTTCTGCACAGAAAAGGAAATCATCAACAGAACAAAAAGGCAACCTACTGATCAGGAAAAATATTTGCAAATCACGTATGTGACAAGGCGTTAAGAGTCCAAAACATATGAAGAACCCGTATAGCTCAATATAAAACAAAAATCTGATTAAAAAATGGGCAGAGGACCTGAAGAGATATTTTTCCAAAAAAGACACACAGATGGCCAACAGGTACATGAGAAGGTGCTCAGCGTCACTGATCATCAGGGACATGCAAATCGAAACCAGTGAGATGTCACCTCACACCTGCCAGAACAGCCATCATTAAAAAGCCCACGTAGTAGTGCTGGCGAGGACGTGGAGAAAAGGGGACACTCGTGCACCGCGGGTGGGGTTGTAAGTTGGTGCAGATACCATGGAAAACAGTGTGGAGGTTCCTCAAAAAATGAAGACTAAAACTACCTTATGACCCAGCAATTCTACTTCAGGGTATTTATGTGAATGAAATGAAAACACTAACTGGAAAAGGTAGCTGCACCTCATGCTCACTGCGGCATCACTCACAATAGCCAAGGTATGGACACAACCTACGTGTCCATCGATGGATACATGGATAAAGATGGGGTCCATCCTCCCATGGAGTATTACTCTACAATAAAAAAAGAGCAAAACTTTATAGACGACATGGATGGACCTTGAGGGCATTATGCTGAGTGACATAAGTCAGACTGAGAAAGACAAATGATGTATCACCTCACTTTTATGTGGAAACTGAAAACAAAACAAACCAAACTCACAGGCGCCAAACCAAACTCACAGGCGCAGAGAACAGGCTGGTGGTTGCCAGAGGCAGTGAGTGGGGAATGGAGGAGATGGATGAAGGGGTCAAACTTGGTTACAAAATAACGACGTCCTGGGATGTCACACACAGCATGGCGACTTGTTACCAACACTGCGCTGAGAATTCAAAGCTGCTGTGAGAGTAGATCTTTATCGTTCTCATCACAAGAAAACGTTTTTCTCTAAGTAAGTAAGGTAATTGTTAACTAGCCTTACGGTGATTATTCTGCAGTAAGTATATGCACATGTGAAGTCATTTTGATGTGCGCCTTAAACACACAGTGCTGTGTGTCCTTTGTATCTCAATAAAGGTGTAAAAAAATAAAACCTTCCTTTTTTTCATTTTAATGTTGATGATTATAGGGCAATATAATGAGAAGATGTACAGTTTGCTGGGCTTTCTACGACATGGGAGTTTTCGGTGTTTTCTGACATTCAATTTTAAGGCACTGCCACGTTTACCAATTAAACGCATAACGCCCTGCCTTGGTTACGGGTTAAAAATACACCATTTAATAATAAACGCCCGAGTGTGCCCGGAGATGTACACACGTTGCAGGTAAACAGTGTCATCTCCATTTTACAGATAAAGAAACCGAGGCTCAGAGAGGCTGCTGCTGTTTAAAGCGGGGAAAGTGAGTCACGACGCGCACAGGTGGGTCCCCAGCGGCAGGTCTCGCATCGGCCATCGAAGCGTCTGCAAATCCCGTGTTTGCTCACGGAGGGTGCTTGCCGGGCCGGGGCGGCGGGTGTGCGTGTCCCGCAGGCCTCGGGCCGGGCCCCCTGGACCCCCGGGGCCGGGCCTGCGGGTCCCGGACTCGCCGGGGGTCTGGGGTCGGCCCCGGATCCCGCCCTGCCGGCGGCCCGGGTCCTGGGCCGAGAGCGGCATTGAGCGGCGACTTTCCCCGGCGCCCGCCCCCCGCGGCTGCGCCCCCGCCCCTCCAGCCCCGCGGCTCGCGTTCCCGCGGGCTGCGCTTCTCCCGCGCCCGGGTCCCTTCCGCGCCCCCCGGCCTCCCGCCTCACCTACCCCGCCTCCGCGCCTCCGCCATGCGGGTCCCGCGGCGCCCGGCCCCCGCCGGCCCGCGCCGCACTTCCGGATCCGCCCCTGGAGGCCCGCCCACAACAGCAGGCTGCCCAATCCGGACCCAGCTTCTCTGCCGCTGGATGCCAATCAGCAGCACCCCGGCTTCGGACTGGGTATTATGGCAGGGGGCGTATGCTCCGCGCATGCGCCGAGGGAAGTGACTCCCGAGCGCGCCAGACGCGGCCTCGGAGGGGTCGTCGGGAGGGAGGGAGGGAGGGGGCCGTGGGCCGGGGGTTAGCGGGGCGGGGCTGTGTCTGGTGGCCGCCCACGCTGCCGGCGCCCTTGGTCCCGGAGCCCCCATCACGGCGGGCGCGGGGGCGGAGCAGTGGGCGGGTCTGCTCGGCGCACCCCCCGCGCCAGGCGGCCTTAGGGACCGCGGAAGTCGGGGCGAAGTGGGAAAGGAGACCCGGAAAAAGAGCTGGCGGCCCCCGCCCCGCGCCTCTGACTCGCGTGTCCGTGTCGCGCCGCGGCACTCCTGGGGACGCCCCCCCCCCGCGTGCACCGCTTCCCTGCGTTTCCCTCTGGGACCTGGATTCTCGCCCCCGCTTCTTCCCCGAGCGCGCGATGCGAGCGCGGTTCCGAGTCCGTGTCGGGCGCCGGGGAGCCTCCGCGAAAGGTCCGACGAGAGTGTGAAGTGAGACAGCACAGCACGTGGAGATTCGGGAGGAAAAGCAGGAAGGGGGCTTCCCAGAGGGGAGACGCGGTGCTCAGCAAGGCCTTCGGGCGGGAGCAGGGCTTGGTGACATCTAGGCACAGAGCGCTGGGGGCACAAGGGACTCGGTGTCCCCCGGCCCCTGGGTGATGGTGTCTGGGGAGCAGGGCCTGGTGAGTAAGGGGGGCCACAGATGTGGTCGGATGGAAAGATTGGGGCCAGACCGCGGAGGGCAGTGTATCAACTTTTATGTTTTCCGGTGAGTGAGATGGAAACTCATGAGCTGGTTTTGAACAAAGTGAAATATGTGACATCTTCAGAAAGTCACTTGAGCCGCTGTGCTGAGTAGCTTTCGGAGGAGGAAGCGTGGGAACCAGTTTGAATCCATTGCGATGAGAAAGACCTTGGCCGGCTAGCATCAGGGTGATAGCACGGGCGGTTGTGAGAACAGGTAGTCGGAGCTTGGGTATATTTGAAGACAAAGCAAAGGAGGTTTTTCTGGTTGACCAAGTGTGGGCTGTGGCAGAAGGGAAGTGTGGAGCGGCTCCATGTGAAGGCTGGACTGAGGATGTGAGGAACCTTTGAGAGGATCATCACTGGGGGGTCGTATGCAGTGTTAGGCATGTTAAGCTTGGGGTGCTCGTTAGACATGTACACGTAGGAATCAGTGAAGCAGTTCAACCTGATTTTAGAGTTCAGGAGAAAGGCGCAGGTTCAAGATACATAACTGGGTTTGTCTGCATGTAGGTGGCATTTAAAACTATAAGAGGGAGTGATTGTGGGCAGGGAAGTGGTCCGAAGAGTGAGCTCTGAGGTGCACCAAGTTTTGGAAAGTGCGGAGGTGAGGAGGTCCCAGCTATGGAACACGAGCGGGAATGGGCGGGGATGTGAAGGACAGTGAGCTGTCCTGGAGCCAAGTCAAAGAAGTCTGTCTCAGAGGATGTGGTGGGTTAAGATGAGGACTGATCACAGACAATTGTGTTTGTCATGTGATCTTGATTACAGTAATTTTGTTGACGTGATAGAGGTAAAGGCTTGATGGGGATTTAATAGAATTGCAGGGGAGAAATTTAAGACCCTGAGTGCAGGTTACTCTCTTTTGGGACTACGGAAATGGGGTAGTAGCTGGAAGGTTTTTAAAGACAGAACACACACACCACATACATATAATCAAAAGAAGGTTAAAAAAACAAACAACAGAACACACACAGCAAGTTTATATGCTGAAGGACCTGATCAAGTTGAGATTGAAAAATGAGTACCAGAACACAAATGACAAGATTGAAGAGTGGGCCACAGACCTTAACAGAGAAAGAAGATACACAGATGGTAAATAATCATATGAAACAATGCTCCACATCATGTCATCAAGAAAATCCAACTCAACCAACAGTGACACGCCTCTGGACACCTGTTAGAACAGCCAAAATCTGGACACGGACAACATCACGTGCTGGTGAGGCTGTGGAGCCACAGGAACTCTCACTGCCGGTGGGGATGCAAATGGTGCAGCCACTTGGAGGACGGTTGGTTTGTTACCAAACTAAACACACTGTCACCATACAATCCAGAAGTCATGCTCCTTGGTATTTATCGAAGTGAGTTAAAAACGTATGTCACACAAAAACCTGCACATGATGTTACAGCAGCTTAATTAGTAATCGCCAAAATGTGAAAGCAACCAAGACGTCTTTCAGGAGGTGATGATGGATAAATAAACTGGTCCATCCAGACAGGAGTATTATTCAGCTAAAAAGAAATGAGCTCCCACGCCATGAAAAGACATGGAGGGACCTGAAATGCACATGACTGAGTGAAAGAAGTCAGTCTGAAAAGACTACATACTGTAGGATTCCAACTCTGTGACATTCTGGAAAAGGCACAACTATGGGGACATTAACGAGATCAATTATTTCCAGGGGTTGAGGAGATGGGTGAACAGGGGGAGCACAGGGGACTTTGAGGGCAGTGAGACTCTTCTGTGTGACACTATGATGGTGGGTACAGGTCATTATACATCTGTCCAAACCCACCGAGCGACACCAAGAGTGATCTGATGTGAACTGTGGACCCTGAGTGATGACGTGTCAATGCAGGTTCATTAGTTGTCACAAATGTCCCATTTGGGGGGCTGTTGATGGTAGGAAGGCTGTGGGTGTGGGGGCAGAAGTGGGGGAGGGTCAGGGGATGTGGGAAATCTCTGTACCTTCCTCTTCATTTTGCTGTGATCCTGACACTGCTCTTAAATATAGTCTATTTTTAAAAAGTAGATGGTTCAGGAGAGAGAATACATGCTGGATGACGTCCTTGGTTAGGTTGCATCTGAACTTGCCAGTTCTCTCCTTCAACGTTCCCACCCATGTTCAAGCCTACTCTGGACTTCCTGACCTGACAACAAAATCTTCCTGGAAACCACGTGTCTTCCTCAATCCTCGTTCTTTCCTTTCATCTCTTTTACACCCAAACTTCTTGAAAGTTGAAGACAAAGTCAGTGTCATTTTGTCATCTTAGTAGACTGCTGCCCACTGTGTCTTCCACATGACTCCTGTGCTGCAACTGCTCCTGCTACAGTCACCAGGACCTGCGTGTCACTAGTTCCAGTGCACACAGCTCAGTAATCATCACCACTTGGGTGTCCCAGGAGCACCGCCTACCGCTCACAAAGCTGGACCTGGGATTCCATGCACTCGCCTCCCTCTTCTCACAGCCCACCCAGGACAGTAACCCCCAGTACGGTGTCTGCAAATTCCCACTTCCACCGTCCAGGTCATGTATTCGGTGTGCTCATCAGGGTTTCCCAGGCATCTCAAAATCTATTTCCCCCAGTTCTGTTGTTTCCTCGCTCCCAGCCACCTGCATCTCTCCTCAGAGCAGCCAAAGTGATCTTGTAGAAATCTCATTGCCGTTCAAAAGTCAATGAATGTAACACATCCCATTTACAAGCCAAGGAGGAACAAATGATACAATCATATCAATAGATGCAGAAAAAGCATTTGGCAAAATTCAACAAAATCTGAAGTTCACGATAAAAACACAAAACTAGGAAGAGAGGAGGACTTCACTTTGAGAAAGAACATCTACAAAACCCTACATCTGACATCATACTTGATAGTGAGAAACTAGATGCTTTTCCCACCATCAGGAAACAAGGCAGGGCGCCCTGTCACACCACTCCTTTTCAACATCACACTGGAAATCCTAGCTAATGCAGTAAGACCAGGAAAAGGAAAAAAAGGTATATAGAGGGGGAAGGAGAAAGAAAACTGTCTTTGTCCACAAATGGCATGATTGTCTATGGAGAACTTATTTCCCTGCTCCAAATCCTACGACACATTTCACTGTATCTAGGGTATAAGTCCGAGTCCTTTAAAGCCCCCTGACTTGTTCTCCAGATGTGTTCATGCTACTCTCCCCTTGTTCACTTTATCCTCATTCCTCGTTACTCCGAGTGTGCACAGCACCAGGCCCTCCCGTCCCCTGAACCCTTAGCCTAAACCCCGCCTCCGCCCCACACGTTTCCTGCCGGAATCCTAGCCCTTCCCTGGGGTCTGGCAGAAGGGACACCTGATTTCCCTCCAGCCCTGCTGTGCAGTCCCCATGCTCTCAGTGCCTCCAGCCCTGCTGCTGGGCTGCTCGGCAGGTACTCAGCCGAGGAACCCGGGGTGGGGGGAGGGGAAGCAACTGGGGGACGGAAGCCACACACAAAAATGTCCACTTTCCAACCGTCAGGGTGCATTCCCCACGAGTTCCTGCCTGTAGCAGGGGTGGCCAGCTTGATGGTGCGTCCCAGTACCTTTCCCTCCCTCCGATTTCCTGGATCAACCTCCCAAACTACCTGCACCCCAAACCCACATCTCAGGACCTGCTTGTGGGGACCCTAGAGGAACCTAAAGGTTTAACTTAATCACATTTCCTCAGGGAGTTGTTTCCTGTTACCACAAGCTGTAGTGGTTGCCCTTGTAACGTGCAACAACACCCTGTATCTTCCCTTCAGAGAGGCACGTATAACTTGTACTGTATGCTACCGTGCTACTTTGAAAAACGGCCTCCCTAGACGGAAAGCTCCGTGGGCCAGGGGCTGGCTGTTTCTTCTGTCACATACGGAGCACACATGACAGGCACTGGGCACATATTTGTGGTTTGTGTTGTTGCTGTGGCATGAATGAATGAATAAATGAATCTCCAAAGATGAAAGGATGGGGACAAATATGGAGAGGAGGAAAGTAAATTTTAAAATGAAAAACAATTGATTTAGAATCTAGATTTTGGGTTGCGGTTTGGCACACAATTCATTGGTGTTTGACAGTGGAGACAAAGCTGGACAACGCTGAAACAGGAAG